TTCCATTTCTGCAGTTCCACTGATGTGAAGGAATTAGAAAGCTCACTGTCCTTCCACACCACAAAAAACTGGCTCTTTGTTCCATATTTTCCCTGTAATGGTGCCAACCCCTTTAGCATCTCCTCAGCCTTTGGGGCAATGCTGGTGTGCCCAATAAGGACTGTGGCTCACTGGGTAAATGTAAGTTTTAATTTGTCTGTAATTGTCAGCCTGCCTTTTTGGAGACTATCACAAATGACATTTATTTGAATAATCTTAATGACAAAACTTTCCTTTGCTGAAGTAGCAAAGTAACAAAATCCAGTTTTACCTTCTCCTTTTAGTACTAAAGTCACAACAGTTTCCAAAGACTGTTACCAACTCCAGAAATTATTTTCTCCTTGCAAAGAAAATTGCTGCACCTTTAAATGGAACTTGTAGGGAGGAAAAGTGTTAGTTTGCACATCAGTGACCTGGATATTTTCCTGATTATTTCAGAACATTAAGGTGTTCACATATGAAAGTCATGATTCCTTGACCAGTCTTCAAATTGCAAGTGAATAAATTACTTTCCAGTCTTAAAATAAAGGTAGAACGTTGGAGTCATGTACATCTCACTTTTAAGTACAGCTGGAATTAAACTCACTTAGCTTTGTTTGCTGCTTATTGGTCCTGAATAGAGCACATTTACCCAGTGGTTTGAATTTATTTCAAGCACACAATAATACTCCTGTGACTGCTTTGTAATGAGCTGTTAATAAACAGATTTCAAACACAAAGTGAATTTCTGATACAGAATTTTTGTGTGCCTGCAGAAGAGAGTTACACCATATAGAGCTTCTTATAAAGACATCTGTGGTGTTTCTAAGTTCCTGCATCTGTAAGGGTTTTATCCTTTATTCACTGTTATAATCTCCTCATGTTGCCTCCATAGGCCACATAAACAATGGCTTGTTTCTTTTGTTTCCATTCTTTAAAAGAAGTTCTATAATAGACATTCCTAAGAATAGCATTTAAGGATACATTTGCCTTAATTCATGTAATTACTGAAAGTTGTAGACACTGATTTTCTTGAGCTGGTCTTCTTAAGGCATCTGAATCTCTGGTAAACATTTAATTCAGAGAAATTCAAATCTCTGATAAACGGGGCTCTATTTGTGATAATTTCCAGTCGGTCTCACCATCCAACAATTCATCAACAGAATTTTTGATGAGATTGCAAATGTTATGCATTGACTTAAATAACAGTTAAGTCAGGTGCTTAGCAGACTGAAGAGGATGAAAGCAGACAATAAAGAGCACAGTTTGGGCTTTAGGATTTGTCTTTTACTGTGCTTCATTTCACAGTAAAAACCTGGGACTTGGTTGCTGAGATCCCCCTTTTAAACCTCCTAACTGTTCCCACATCTTAACTGGGAACACCATAACTCCATGGGGTTTAAATCAGCCCATGGAGTTTCCAGCCCTTAGAAAAGTCAGCTTCTAACAGCGGGTATTTTCGAGCTTTAGCCAAAGCAAAGCTGGCTTTTTTAATGTCCAGGAACAGCAGAAATAAGGATTCCGGGAAAGTGTCGTAGATCATTAGTTTTATTTAGTTTTAAATTACAAAATATTTCTATCTGCTCCATGGAAATGTTACTATAAACAAAGCAAGTGTGAGGTGGGGAGAAAAACCTTTGCTGTGGTGTTTGAATATGTAACTATATATAGCCTAAAGGAGGCTCATTTGCTTCTTAAGGCTGTAAAGAATTTAGTACCTTAAAACCAGTGAGATTACTCTATGGAAAATAAAGCAGTCTAGTCAGAATGGAGGTCAGATCATGTTTTCATGAACTAATGACCCCATTGAGAACAAACCAAATGTGTTGCAAAGTGAGTTAGGTTCTTTCCCCCACCTGTAATTGAAAGATCACTTATATTTTGGGTTTGGGCAGGAATAGGAATAGTTTGTTTGTTTGTTCTTTAAGAATGGCTCTCAATATGCATGGAATTCTGTTTCCTACCTTAAAACTGTGGAGATGATTTTGGTTTCTTTGGCTTCTTTCATTTCTCTTTGTCAAACCTTCTGCTCTAAGACTTGCATCTCGAAGCCTGTCTGAGTCTAGTTTGTGCTTTGTCATTAACTTCTGCTTCCAATGTCCTTTGCTGACACTCCATGGTATTGCCTGCACCAAACTGCTGCTGGAAATGAGGTGTAGATCTGGATTTTTGTCCACAAGCACCACTCCAGTGCTGGCTGAGTGATCGTTCGGTTGAATTAGGGATGCAGAACACAACAGTTTACTTGTGAAGTCTCTACCATTCTGCCTGTGGATAAGGACTTTTTTCTTCCCAGGTTTCTCCATAAAGACAGGTGACAGACAGCATTTATATGGAGAGTTGAAAGGCTTTGATTGATTACTGATTAGAGGAAAATCCTGCAAGAATGAATTCTTTAAAGAAGGCAGCTGAGCTGCTCTTGTAATGAACTGGCCGAGAAACAAGAGTGTAATGAATAAGCAATGACAGTCACCCCTGAATTCTGTTTGCACATGTGTAAGGGAAAGGCCTTGAGTGAGTAACCTGACAGCATCAAAATATCAAAGCCCTGCCCAGTGCTCTGGACCAAAAGTATTGAGGACTCTCATCATCATTCATGGGGCTTATGCAGCTCTTGCTGCAGTTCAGACTCTCCTCTGAGCAGAGCAGGGGATGATCTCAGGGCTGGTCTAGTGTGTCATTGCACAGTTTCTACACCTTAAAACTGCTGGATTTTTATTTGGTTTAGAAATTATGAAAAAATAACGGGGGGAGAACAGATTCTATTGTACTATTGCATAACTCTATAGTTGTGTTCTTAGTTATTCTGTTTCTTGCACTTCTGAACAAGCAAAACATGCTAAAAATGAATTTAAGCTACACTTTGTGGGGTGGGTGGGCTAAAACCAGAAAATCCTTTCTACCAGGATACATCTAAAGTTAGGTCAGTGTTGAATAATGTATTCCCAGAGTGCAATAGCTCAAGGGAATGGCCCATCTTCCCACAGAGTCTGTTTTCCATATAGAAATTCCCATCTTATATCAACTTTAGCTCCTGCTCTTCCTATTTCAGTGCAGTCAAAAATATTGGAAAAAACCCATATCCCCTTTAAATTTGTACTAAATAAAGAAATATAATTATTATTATTTATTTATATTTTCTACAGAAATACATATGTATATATGCATACATAAAATATATACACACATATATATATAAACCTATACATACAACCTTTTTCTATTTATCTGCTCTTTTACAGTCGTGCTTGGTTGGTTGGTGTTTCACCATAACCAGGATTTTGAAGAACTGACATTAATTGTAAATAATTACATTTATTCAAAGATAGAACTTAACATTATTAACAGTATTGTTCACATCCCTGTCTCTACAAAGCATGGAACAGAAAAATATACATTCCCTTCCTCCCATTCAAACAGCTGTGGAGAACCAACCCTGGTGTGTCTTATCCACATGAGAAGCTCTTTAAAAAAAAAGATAAGTAGCCTTTGTGCTCCTATGTTGTTAAAAAACCAAGTGCTACCAGTACATTTTTAAGGTGCTGATACAGCTTCCTAATCAGGACATTACAACATTTTACACATTGAAATACTACACTCCAAGGAAATAGTGACTATTTAGTAACTCTCTGCATCTCCTGTAAAATTCATATTTAATTTTCTTTTAGGCAAAGAGCAGATACAAAATTTAGCTCCTTAGTGTCACTTGTTTTACTACAGCTTTTAAACATTTTCATTTTGTGCATAAACCAGTTTTAAAATACTCAGAAAACTCTTACAGAAATTAATGTACTCAAAACAAAAGTTAATCTGTGAAGCAAGAATGAGTATAGTTACCCAAAAAAATTACTTCTGGGTCCATACAGCACAATTTGCTTTTTTTTCAAATAAGATGTATTTACAAATTATAAAATACTTCTCCAATATCCATAGGTTCATTTTTTTCTTAAAATAGTATATAAAGGCTGAAAATAGGAAAAATTGTCACAATTTTAGTTTCAAAGCAAAATGAAGAAAGACTTCAGCACACTTACAAATCCATCCAAGTGTGCCAGGAACAGCCAACTGAAAACGTGGCACATCTGTGCAAACAATGGTTATTGTTGACTTGAATCCCTAAATTGTCCATCTGAGCCCCTCAGTGCTGGAGAACAGGGTGGACAGAGTGATGGCCCCTGTTCAGTGCAGCTCCCACACTGGGAAAAGCTCCTCACTCCTCTGGAAACAGGAGGAGGAAAACAACTGGAGCTGGGACATCACACAGCTACCACTGGGACAGTGCCAATAACAGTCCATGCCTTACTGCACTTCATTGGTCATCCTGTAAATATTTTTTCACAGGGATTAAGATGCTTTTTTAGACAAAGCAAAAGACCCTGAATATCCTGAATCCATGTGTCATTTTATTATTTTATTTTACTAAAATTAATTTCAAAATAGAACAGAATCCTTAATTTTTATTTGGCTGCATCTAAAACTTCTTTGTGTGCTTCTGACTCCTACCAATGACCATTACACCTGCAATAAAACAGGTTTGGGACTGATTGGATTAGGCATATGTTTTCTGATCACATTTAAAGAGGGATTATGGAGATGAAGGGTGAACGAAGAAAATCTGTGGCTGTTTGTGTTGAGAATGACAAAATATTATTACCTTCAAACTCTGAATATGCTGACACTACTTTGGCTCTGGAAAACATTTCTAGGGAGCTTGCTACAGGCAATTCAGTAGAATCAGCTGCTAAATGCAGCTTGTTCCTTAACCAGCTATCCAGAGCTGCTTCCAGGCAGCTCCCTGGAGCTGGAGCCTTGCATGCAGCTTGATGGGGAGCTGCATCTTTCTGTCTATTCAGCTTTAGACCTTGAAAGCTCCCTGACATCTCAGTCCTGCATTTCCAGATCTTGCTGAGCAATTGCTTGTTCTCAGTCTGGTTGTGCTGCCGTGGTCACTCCCAACAGGAACAGTCACCCCATGGTGAAGCACACAAAAAATACCTTATGTTTCCTTTTCTTCTTAGATCTCATTCTTTATAAATATGATCTCAAATTAAAGATTAAAATGAAATAAAAATAAATAATCATTAATCTTTTACATAAAAAGATTAAAACATTATGGAACTGCAGCTCCTTTTCATAGGATTTCTTTCCAACAGTATTTTGGGTCAATGTCAAGTGATGGAAATCAGTGCAACTCCCAACCATTTCAGAATCAGGCTCCTTTTAGCAATCCTTATTCTATATAAAAAAACCCAACCCAACAAATCCTTTTACTGATGCTTTATATCGATGTAAATGTTCAACTGTTTGCAACAGTTTTAGAACAAATGCACATTCTTTCCTTTGACAATCAAACAAAACAATTTAAGGAGAACTTCTGTAGTAGAATCACTGTAAGAAATCTTAAGAAAGTATCGTTAGAACCCCAAGACGTTTGCAGCTCTTGATTTGTCCAGAGTTTGCATCCAGGTGATGTCCAATATAAATATTCCCTGTTTGAAAATGGAGAGCACCTGTGGACTGACAGACAAATCTTTTGAAATCTCTTCAACCCTCTGAGACCTCGAGCGATTTCCTTGAAATCTGGAGTTGTTCCTCAGTTGGACTGAGGGTCATTTCGGAAATGCATTGCAGAAGGTTCAAAAAACTGCAAGACAAGTTTAGAGAGAAGGTTAATTATGGGTTGTTACCAACTGTTAACAAAAACTGGGCAAACCAACAAACCCATGTGATTTCTGACTCGCAGCAGACTTAAAAGAGAACTGCATGACAGGGGAGAATCCTCTTAGAATCTGATGCTCGTTGCCTGGCTCATCAAAGCTCAGTTAAGTGTGTATGGAAATGGCTGTTTCCCTGAACTTTATTTTGCAAGTGTTTCAATTGAAACATGATATAACAACACATCCTGCCAGCTTTGTGGATAACAACATATCAGTCAAATACTGTTCCAGTTCTCGTTTCTTTCTGGTTTTTTCTCCCCACTTGCCATCATCAGCATCTCATCTTCCTCAGCTGCTCACCTAACTCTCCTCCTGCCATCATACTGAGTTCTCTGTGTCCAAAGAATACCCAGGACTCAGCACATTTAGCCCAGTTAGTGAGTTTGTATCTTCCTCTGCTCCCAAACAAAAAGGTGGCCTCTGCTTGTTTCTCTGTGGTTTATCATCAAAAGTTTAAGATCATCTCCCTCTTTAGTGTCATTCACTCCTTCATTCCAAGTTTTATTACATGAAAAAGTGTAATATAATGTTACATGTAAAAATTAAGATAGATAGATTTAGAAATAAGATGTGTAAGATCATGTGAAAACATCATATGCATTGTGAATTACATGGCAGAGAAGTACTTGTAGTCTTCTCTTTAAAAGGGGACTCTTTGCATCCTAAATCAAGCAAATTTTAAAATAAACTAAGTGTGCAATTCACCTACCAAGGTCACCATCATAAATTAGTATTCAGCTGAAGGATTAAGCAAGATTTAAAACAAAAAAGCAAAGCCAAAATATACTGTATGACAAAATAAAAATCTAGAACAACTTCTTATTTTTCAGAAAGGTTTGTTCTCCTTTCAACAACTTTTCATTTGGCTAATTTAGACAAATGTGTCTTGTTTGCTACTGTATAGCTGTTGGGTTTGGGAATCTCCACAATGACAGACTTTGGTGAATAATGTTCTGCTCTCCAAACTAAACTAATCAAAATCCTGGAAAGCTGCACTACAAGAACTGGTTATTTCAATGATTTTTTCCCCATTTTGTTTTAAACAAAAGCCACAGTAGCTCAGTGAAAAAAGCGAAGATATATAGATCTATATAGATATACAGATATATATTCAATTTACTTGAAATACCACACAAAATGTGCTTTTTAAATTGAATAAGCTGGATAATACTGTAACTATATTTAATCTATTGGGCTTGAGGGAGCCAGAAATTAAGTTGAACTGCCCTTGAACATGCCATGCTTTGCTCACCTAACTTTTGTATCTCCTCTGCTTGACTAGAAAGGCTTACTTATTTTTAGTATGTTTTTAAAGCAAAAAAAAAATCCTAGTTTTCCTTTTAAGTAACAACTGGTAAAGTGATACAACATATTGATTTAGAAACCTAGCAGTGTATATCACAATCATTATTAGTTACAAATGAGTACATAAACAGGAAAATATAATTTATGAAGAAGAGCCTGATCAACATTTTACATAATTGTTTACATTCTTCATAATTCCAAACACCCCAGCTGTCAATACTTCTCTCTTTTCTAAATGTTGCTGTTGGATTTCTGTCTTTCTATGATGCTACTACAGAACATAATTTCTGAGCTTCTGAGCATATTTGTGAGCTTGCAAAGTAGCATTTAAAAATATTTATAGTCAGCACTTTGTCATAGACTTTTCAAGTATTTTCAAAGGCTAGTTCTAATGTAACTATTAATATACAAGGTTTAGTGTAAATATTTCCTCACTACCAGGGGAAATGGCAACTGTGTTCCAAATATTTCTAGCTGCAAAGTGTGAAGGCTGAATGGAGTCCCTGGAGAGCACTGGGCCAGCTGAGGAGCCAACCCCTGCCCAGGAGCTGCACGGTGCTCATGAGCTGCTCGCTCCTGCCCTGCTCTGCCTCACGGCAGGACTTTGCACTCGCAGTCGGGATTTTAGCAGCAGGGTCAGTAACTCTGGCACAAATGCTGAATTTATCACTGGCCGCGTTTGGAGTGGCCAGGAGTTGGCAGCTGTGGCCTCTCGAGAGAGACATCTGCAGGAAGGTTTGGCAGAGGCAGTGCCTGCCACCTTCCTGCCCTCCCGATTCCCCAAAGCTGCCAGGCAGCAGCTCCAGCTCTGAGACAGCATTTCCCACGGCACACTGGGGCAACAATCGGCCAAATCAGGGGCTGGGAGCCTCTGCCTCGGCAGAGCCAACGTGCCCCAGGCACCTGCTCAGCGCTGTCCTGGGCCCCTTGACCTGCAGCACCTCTGGGCTGTCTCAGACATTGCCCTCAGCTTCCCCCTGGGCCAGGAGATGAAGGTCCAGCCCCACCAGCACTCACCCACAGCTCTCCAGCCCCTGTTCGGATTGATGTGGGGACTTTGTGCATTCAGTGCTATCTAAATACCCTCATTATCTCTCTAGCTGTCCTAAATAAAGCTAAATGTACCAATCATATTGACTGCAATGTACAGGGAGATCCAAAAACTCTATGGCAACGAGGCAAATGAATGTATTTTTTACCAAGGAAATGGGAAACCATTAACTGTGTTTAGGCAAAAAGGGAAAAATTAGAGATTTAAAGCGTTAAAGACTTAATGGCTAATCACTGACTGATTATTCTAGACATGCCCAATTTGCAGGGCACACATCTCTTCTGGACCTTATGGATATCTCTCTCTACCTGATTCAAACAAACTTAAGCAAAGAATTTAACAGCTTTATCTGCATAAAACAGTGCAGTTATATGAAAAAAATAGGGAAAATCAACATTAACATGTATAAAACCAGGGATTCTCGATTCACAAACTTTATACTGCAGTTATTAATCTTTCATACCATGCATAAGAAACTTTTTTGGGGAGACTTACTGTACTACCATACTGAGAAAACTTTAGGATATTAAAGTTCTTATCTCCTTCACTGCATTGCTTCAAAAGATAGTTCTACCATTCCTTACTGCACACAGGTAAAGAAATAGAAGAGTTAAGATGAATTTGTTTGCCAAGAATGTCATCACAGATTGTCTTACACAGCATGTTGTGCTCAGTGCCACGTGGCTGAGAGCTGAGGGTTTGCATTTGCCCTCCTCAAGCAGCCCCTGTGCTGTGCTGAGGGCCACAGCTGCTCCAGGGCTGCAGGCCAGGCTGCTCTGTCAGAGCAAACCTTCTGTGATTCCTCAGAAAGGAATCATTGCCTGGAGTCACAGGAGTACATGAACAGTTGAAATCATATTGGCCAAGTAAACATACATTATAAACAAGTATTCAGAAAATTAACTACTCACTTCCATGGTGTCTTTTGAAAGATAAACCACCCAGTACACCAGGTTGAATCCTGCAAATGCCACTGGAAAGAGGATCCTGGAATACTGGTCTATTTTACTGGCACCTCCAATAGCTGGTGGCTGTGGTGGGGCAGGTGGAGGCACAGACACTGCCTGACACTGGGATGCAGTATTTGATATTATGCTGGGTTCAGGAGACTGCTCTGCCTGAGATGTTACAGAGTTTACTCGCTTCTTCAGGTTAGAGTTGGAGTCAGAATGCTGTGGAAGAAAAGAAGAAAGAGGGGAGAGGAAAAAAAAGGGTTATTTTTGGATACAGAGTCTTAGGTTTTGTGATCATTAGGCTTCTTTCCATCTTTTTACTCAACTTTCTGATTTTATCATTGCTTCTCTGCTATAGTGCAACCTAAGGAAATCACAAAAATACTGCAAATATACAGAGGTATGTTTGTGGCCTAAGGCTTTGCTGGGAAAACAGGACAGAATATGTGCTTTTCATATTTTTAATGTAGTAATACATGGAAGCTACAAGAGAGAAAAAGAAAAGATGGAGCTAAATGGAGAGGAAGGTAATGATGCATCTAAGTTCCAATATATTGGTATGACTGAAGTTTATGCAGATATGGGTGAAGTTTAAACAAGATAACACACATGGCTGGCTCAAGCAGAGTCTTCCCTGTGTGAACTCAGGGATAAGCTCAGTAAACACCCTCTGAATGAAGTCGAGCTGTCACACAAGAACTACAAAATTGCTGCACAAAAGGCAATGGAGTAACTGTACAGGTGCTGAAGACATGAATGTTAAATTGTCGTGTTGTTTTTTCTAGGATGAAATTTCCTTTTCAAATATATCTCATGATTCCCACAGCGTTTCCATGCATTTGACTGAAGACAAATGTACTTAACTGTAATGGGGCAATTTTTATTTTCATTTATGGTAAAATGAAACCAAATGACTCCCATATTTTGTGCAATATTCATAGCCAGGTTCAATTATTCTCAGAAAGCTGCAAGAAAACTCCTATGAAAATCCAGCCAGAACTCAGGAACATTTAGAGCTTACCTTTTAGTTACTAGGTTCACAAGTATATTCATTATGTACATCTGTTTTATTTGTGGCCAAGTTGCCAGTATTTTACTTTCACAAGAGTAGAAGTAATAGGTTTCTTCCTTGCAGAAATGGTTTAGGAACAGGGTCTGCCACAGGCTCCAAGCCTAATGGATATCAGTTGCCCACTTTCACAGAAGTGTCAAATAGGAGAAAAATTTCAAAAACCTTGCTCCCACTGCCATATCCCAGGACTGCCATTAGTGGATGTGTGGAAGCAGCCAAAAGATTCATCTGATGGTTGAGAAAATACAGATGAATGCCAAGAGTGTTGAGTTGGTTTTTATTGTTTCAATGAGGTGCTGTGGGGTTCTAACAGTTCTTGTTTTGATGGGGTGCTGTGGGGTTCTAACAGGTATTGTTTTGATGGGGTGCTGTGGGGTTCTAACAGTTCTTGTTTTGATGGGGTGCTGTGGGGTTCTAACAGTTCTTGTTTTGATGGGGTGCTGTGGGGTTCTAACAGGTATTGTTTTGATGGGGTGCTGTGGGGTTCTAACAGGTATTGTTTTGATGGGGTGCTGTGGGGTTCTAACCCAGAGCGACAGAAATCGCTCAGGCTCTCAAACACAAAGCTAACATACAACAGTTTAGTTGAGCTTGAGCCTAAATCTTTGTTAATAAAGAACTGAAAAAAATCACTTCCTGGATTATTGATGAAAAATCACACAACATACAGATATTCTTGGGTTAGATAAGTAGCTTTTTTGGTCAGCAGAACTTGATGGCCAAATGACTGAAGCAGGTGAGGGAAGTCTTAGACAACGTAAATAACTGGCAATATAACAGCACAGACATCTATAGTAAAATGGAAGGGTAACATTTGAATGGTTTTAAGGTAGAAAAGTGCTGTTAGATATGCAATGTCCAAAGGCATTCTTTGGGAGTGATTTAATGACAAGCATTCACTTAAATGTACTCCACTGTCAGCATTTCTGGGATTTATCTTGCAGGATTTCGAAGCATGGGAACAGATTTTGGGCAATCAGATAAATGACTGAGTCACTAAAGGGAAAAGCAGCATTTTCTGAAATACATTGCCTACCCTTGTACTTGGGCCACGATTTCTAAATAACAGACTAACCTAATACACCTGGTGTCCCCTGGATGATTTAAAATATAGTTATAACAGGAATTATCCTTTCAGCAGTCAGTGTTACTGTCAGAGAATCAGAACAAGGGACGTTGCTACAACATGAGCTCTGCTCATGGATGAATGGACTGGTATCCAACTAAAATTAGGGAGAGATGATTTTAGTCTGAATAAAAAGAGAACAACATTTTATTTGAAAAAAAAAAAAAGGTACTTTTTCTGTATTTCTCTCTCTTACCTATTGCCCTTCTTCTTCCCCTACAACCCATCACCACTTCCAACATTATATGGTTGTTGCCATGTTTGGAATGGTGTTTAACAGCATTCCTGCTCTGGGGCTGTGCCTATCTGGAACACAGAGGTTTGGGGTTGTATTTTCCAGTAACACAGCAAGAAACAGAGCGATTTAAATAGGGGATGATCTCCAGATGTGTCACAGGAACAGAAAGAGGGTTATCCATGTCCACTTGCACTAATCAGAACAATAATCCCTCTCTCACACAGACACACTGAGCTGTCTGGCTGCTCCCAGTCCAGTTGCTGCCCTGTCTGCCTGCCCTGCTTTGAGCTGAACTGGACAAACTGGGAGGTATCTTGGCTTTCACTGTACTGGGGAATAACTTCATCTTTGTGGAGAATAAGTGGTTCCAAAAAATGTAAGTGTTAAGGTGAATTTTAGCCCTTCTAGTCCTACAATATTGTGGTATAAGGTGGGTCAAATTCTGCTCTGGGTCATTCAAGCATGAATCAGTGATGGAGTTAATAGTAAGTAGAACAGATGTAGCATATGGTCTGTGGATGATGTTCAGTACTGAGCATATTTAGAATGTGGAGGTAGTAAAATCTTTGTGATCATTTGAATAGGCACTTGAAAAAGTGTAATCCTGATTGGTATTTTATTTATATTTATTAAATCCCATTCTTATAGAAGGAGGGTTGCTATAAAAGGAGGATTATCTGAATGTGATTCCATCTCAAGAAAAACCCTAAGCAGTTCTTTACACTGTCTTTAACACTCTTGTGTTCCCATACAGCAACTCAGGGTCAAGTGTATTTTCTTGTGTACCACTATGAAGGATATGGAATTCTAAGTCCAAATTTCTCTCCCACATGTAATGAAGATGTTTCTCAGTATGGTAGCTGACTGTAGACCAGACTTGCTGCCCCAGAACCACAACTCATATATTTCATTGGAATTCACTACAGTTGAGTTCTGAACACCAGCTACAGTAATTTTTCTGCTATATTTAGATTTAACTTCTCCTTTTGACAAAGATTACCCACAATAACATCATGAAACATTAACAGAGAAAATGGCAGTGAACAGCTTATTTTGCATAGTTCCCAGAGCCAATCCCTCAGAAAGTAAGGAGTGTGTTCCAGGAGGCTGAAGAGTGGCACAGTGTCATAATGAAATATTGGCTTTGCTGAAGTCACTGAACCCCAAGGCAGAGCAGTGCTTTGGCACTCCTGTGGAATGTTGGTCCCCTCAGGCAATTAAACTTGCCAGTGTCTCTGCCCACCCAGTGACACAGAACAGATTGCCAGGTCCTTGTTTAGTGTGACCCCAGAACACTGGGCTAGACAAAGCCTGGCATATCTGAGGTCTGTAAGGCACAGTCTGCCTTCTATTAAGCTTTTGCAGCCAAGCAATCCCATCCCCTGGAAAACCCACAAAGCAGTCTCATCTTGTCCATAAAGATGCTGCTCCTCCACAACTCTCCTCAGTACCATTAGAACTTGCTTACTCTCAGAATATCTCAGGAGGCTTTCAGCAAATTTCTTGGCTTCCAGATTTCAAAAAATACAGCATATATAACGAGGAGTAAACAGAATTCTTTGTCTGTCTTCTCTGATTTTGATGTGGATGGTAACTGTGATTTATGAATGCACTTTGTTCTTATGTTTCTTTCCCTCAAGAGATTTCTATAATTCATATTTGTAGAATTCTCAGCTCTTCTCTGTTGCTTTGTACTGCAAATACATATTCTCACTATCAGTTTAGTTTATGATCTAACAGTATCTTAAATATGCAACTCAGATACTGGCTAACTTTAAACAAATTAATATATCTATGTCTTCACTTGTCTCTCTTTTACTCACTCACATCTCTTTTTCCTGGCAGCAATGCAGTAAAATATACTCTAAACATTTAGATAAAAATAATGGGTTATTTTCCTTTTCTTTATAATTTATTGGATTAAAAATATTGAACTTTGCTAATGTCAGAAAACATACACACAAAAAACCCAACCTAGAACCAAAACTCAATGCCTGTAAAGGGCAGAATGCTAAATTAAACACATAACATCCTTTGTCTCTGCTCATCAGTAGATACAGTTTGAGCAGTTTCAAACATTTGTATGACACACATGACAGCACATGCTAATGACTCAGATCCCAAAGAGGGAGATAACATGGATTAGCCCCTCCATCCAACAGTGGGATCTGTAAAAACTGCTCAGCTATTGAACAATCCACATGCAGCATCTTGCAGCAGGAAAGTCCATCACATTATGTAACATCATCTTTTGGCCATGCCTGAAGGTACCTCATTCTTTACAGTCCTGTGCAGTTTCAGCATCCATCTCCTGACAGACAATCATTATAACCCCTAATTTAGACATTCCTTTGCATATCCCATCTGTGGGATCTGATTCAAAAGATGTCTGTTGCAAACATCTATAAACAGTGTCCTGCACAATTAAAAGCTGACTATAGTTTAGAAGTCATTAACAGCCCTAGCTTTAGGCATCTCTTTAGGAAATTTAGGTTCCCTTTGCTAGAAATATTATGAGGAATAACATGCAGATTGGTTTTCATCATATTTTACCTTAGTAAAAGGGTTAAATTACTTAGGTTAAATAACTCACTTGGAGCATGGGAAAACCATGTTCAAATTCTTTCTTAACCTTCAGGGCCTGAAATTCATCTTTCTCAAAATCTAGCCTAACCACCAGGTAAAGGTGATTAGGGGGAGAGGCTGTTACCTTATTATTTCAAAGCTATTTTACTTTGCATGGAAAATCTAGGGGTTTTCCATGCAAAGCAGAGGCAGAAAACATGACTTTGAAACATCTCCCCTGTCCATTGGACTAAAATTGCTGCCCCGTAAAGCAGGTGCACATGAAGGACAGCAGAGACTGGAGCCATCGTCACCCTCTTTGCAGTGGCATGTGCTGTGGCAGAGTCTCTTCCTAACATTCATTTGTAGCATACTGGAAAAATCATATCACTGCTACAGAGCCCCTCTGCTGTCAAACTATATTTTTCTGTGAAACAGATTTAAATGTTCAGAGTCACATTTGGCTCTTAAATCTATCAGTGTCTGTCCAAAACAATCCCTGTCTTTACCTTTACTTTGCAAAATTTCTGCAGCATAGAGAAACTGCTTCAAGTGTCTAAATGAGACACAATTACACAAACAGCACTAGAGAGGTTTCTTTGAGGTTTTTTCCATAATTTAACTTACTTAATTTTGTTCTCACTGCTTCCCTGGAAAAAAGTACTGGGATTAGACTTCAGTGTTGAACAAAAAAATGTTGAAATCAAGTTAATCTTTTCTTTTTCCTGTTTTGGAGTGTGATATCAGCTACTTCTACATCTTCCTTACTGCTCTGCACTGGCTTTGTCAATCAGACAAATATTTATCTCAGGCAGAACCAAATAATCAGCATCTACTTTTTTTGTTGGGATGACAAAAAGTCAATATAATTGAAAGTTGCTGTTTGTTTTTAACAGTCTACCTGATGATCTGATAATTGTGAAGGAGCAGGAAGGTCTCCCTAATTTGATGGAAAATGCCATGTTCTCAGTCAAGACTTTAATGCATGTAGCTGTTTCTAGGATGATCTCATACAGGGTGCTTGATAATCCAAAGAGAAGCTCTCTCCCTTAGTTATACTAGAACACTCATTAAACATATTCAATATATTCTGATGTAATTAAGGAATTCTAAATCCTCTACACCAGTGACATATGGCTGCTCTGCAGTTGGCCAGGGTTCTCAAAGAAAATGAGAATCCTTTTCTGCCCAAGCCATGTTATTTTGAAGCACAGGGACAAGGCTGTGGGGAGAAGGAAGCTCTCCCAGAGGGATTTCCCTGCTCTGTGCTGTTTTCTGTTAAAACAAGAGGTCTTTCAGAAAATAACTGGGAATCAAGCTGTTACAGGGTGGTAATCTTTTGTCTTTTAAATGTAGTCTCTCACATGGAAAGGATGTCTTTTGATCCATGGGGTGTATTCCCTGACCACCTCACAAAGCATTACTCCAAATGGTGCACTCCAGAAAGTGTCACCAATTCCCTTCTCCTGCAACTTCCAGTATTGGGATCTTCCTGGATAAAGGAAGCCATAGTGATGAAACAATAAGATTGATACAGAAAATTTACATTTGAAATGGGTTAAAAAGCTAACTGTCATTGTGGTTTTTATATATATATAACACCTTTGGGTTTGACGTGCTGAAACAAGCTTGGCCACCACCTGAATAAACACAGGGTTGTGTCAGGGGCCAGCTGACTCCTCAGCTTGTTGCCATTGGGTTTTGCAGTGGAACACCCCTAGGTTTGTGTTTCACACAGGCCTTGCCTGCAGCTGATGAGCAGAGCAAGCCAAAGCCTGGCTCAGTTAACTGAGGTCAACAGAGAGGCTTTCCTGGAGCCAGCCCAGGCCTGCTGGGCTGGGAGCACTTGGATGATCTCAGCCAGACCACTGTCCCTCCTCCAAACCAGCACAGGTCAGCCAGTGCACCAGAGCTGCTCCTGCTTCCATTAGTACAGGAGAGCAGGATTTGGGCTTCTGACATCTTTCTTTCCTGAGTGTACAGACTTTTTTACTACTGTGTGAAAAATTCTGTATATTCAAATAAAGCAATATTTTAAATAAAATTAACTAGACTGAAGGGGGAAGGAGGGTGCTTCATAGTATTTTGAAATATTTTTGATTAAAATATATAAAGATTTTCTTTTTTCCTTTCTGCATTTATATATTTAATGAAAATAAAATTAATTTCTTTCTTATGGCTTATAATGTCTTAATTTCTTTTCAATATTAATACCATTATAAGCAAAATACAACATGGCTTACAAGCATAATGCTTCCCAGTTGAAGTGAAGAGCATTTGTTCTAATGAGCACCAGCAGCAAGATGCTGTGGAGCTTTGGTTTTGCTATTATATGGAACATATCAATTATGAGTTTAATGGTCTGAATGTACCTAAATGTACTTTAACTGCTGTTTATAAGAAAATGTGGAAACATGACTATATGGTAAGGTGGTGTCCTGATACAGGCATCTCTTAGATTGACTTCTTTATTCGTTATAGACTCAGAGGTTTTGCAAAAGGTCATTCCAATTCTGTTATTCCTCTAAAAATGGAAATTGTTGTGGTAGTAAAACTGATTTTGAAACAGGAGGGCTATAGTGATAAATATATTAACATATGTTGAGAAGCAGCATTCATTACTTAGCCTGAGATGTAAGGAATAATATTTACAGGCAATTCTGACATACTTTTTTTTGATACTAGAAAGACTTCCTGTCTTTCGCATGTTCTAAAATCTATCCTTAATTTATGCTTTTTTTCCCCAAGCTTCCACCAACACAGATTTTTAGAGAAGTAACAGATGCCAAGTTTATGTAAAAGCTAATTACCCATCTTCCAGATGACCCACTTATGGTATGTACTGTGTCTGACAGTGATCCCATAATCATCTGGCCAAGGCACATGCTCCTTCCATTGTACACTCTCCTACAAATTCTGCAGACTTTCTGAGAACCACACTTGCCTGACCACACACACTGCCTACAGCATTGCTCAAGAGAAGTATTATGGATAACAGTCTAATGACTTTCCTTAAGTATCTTACCAAATAAACATCTCTAGTAAATCATATCGCAGATTTAAATAAACAGTATGAATAACTTAAGACTTTTCATTTTCTTGAATAAGCACAGGGTCTGTGATAATCAGACACGATCTGGTTACATAATCTGTTTCAGGTTAAGATCACTTTAATATTGTTTTGCATTCACTACTTCAGCTGCCTCTTCCTATATGATGCTTATTATCAGAAAAGCAAGCAATTACCGAGACAATCTCGTCCTCTGCCGGTACAGTCGCTGCCGATAGTGCTGCTGCCAGTGCTGCTGCCCTGGCTGCCTTCCTCAGTGCTCTCTGAGCCTGAAGGTTGGTAAAGTAGTTGACAGCTGCAAACTCAATAAGTGCAGAGAAAACAAAGGCAAAACACACGGCTATGAACCAATCCATGGCGGTGGCATAGGACACCTTGGGCAAAGAATGGCGTGCGCTGATGCTGAGAGTGGTCATTGTTAGAACCGTAGTGATTCCTTGAAAACAAGAGAAAGAAAATGGGGGCATTAGAACTTTGCTTCAGCCCTGCTACTCCTAAATTCATATATATGCAAAAAAACCCCCAATACCTTTTTTGTTTTAGCTGTCATCCTACGTACTAACGAACTAACAAGTATTAGTATTTTGTATTCCTAAATAACTCATCCATACTGGCTTCAGCATCTGAAAGCTCTGGACAAACTTCCTTAATACATCAAGCAGACTGAAAGTTAAGATAATGACATTCTACACTGTGCAGCTTCTTTGAACTGTGATAAACGTGGTTATAACAAAATTCAGGCTCAAAATAGGGAGGATGCTGTCCTTGAGGGGTGGGTAAGTGAATGTTTCACAGAAATGCAGATTCGCACACTGCCATTCCCCAGCAGCGATCCTCTCTTCTCCTGTTGTTGTACAAGACACATCATGGCTTACAGAACCCTCATTGATTCAATCAAATTCTGCATTAAAAACAGTTGGAGCCTCTGATCCAAATATTTCAAGTAATAGGAGTTTGGTCCCCTGAGCTGTTGGCTTTAATCATTGGATATGTTTTTTAAGATTCACTAACAGTATCAGGATTTGAAATCCCTGTTGTTACAGATATGGAAGGACAGAAAAGCTACTTCTCTAGAGCTGCTTATCTATTTTCACACAACAAATCTGGTCATGTAGCTCATGGGCCCCATGGAGTTCTTCACAGGAATTCATGAATTTATTCCTTCTGCTTTGGAGTGTACAGCATTAATAATGTAGGAAATATACTTACTTCCCACTGCTGCCTGATACAGGAAAAAATGCAAGAACAAACTCATTCATTAACATACAAGCCTCTGTGACTCATATTTACTCATAATTATGCCTGCTAGGATGTGAAAACGGTGGGTATTTAAAGACTGTAAGGTGGAGAATATCCCCTTCTGCTCTTTTCTGCAGTTGGGAAAGGGTAGGTGGGAAAGTAAAAGATGTTACAATGTCATGTTGTGCTGATGAATCAATATGCTATGGATGATGCTCAGTGGAAGGGATGCAGTGTCATAGCATATTGCAGCATCCCTACTTACTATTTTCAGAGTTTTTCTGCAACTCTTTCACATGATCCAGCTTGTCAGCTGTCTGAGGTGAGCTATGTCCTAATGCCATTACTTAATATGTTTTAATGAAACACAAAGAGGAGATATAAAAACAAGTAGGATTTCTACTTCTCCCAAATCTGCCAGACTCATTCTATAATATCAATACAGGCGTGTTGAGCTGTATTTCAATTTCAGAAGTCCAGAGGGAACTTTTCAATATGATGTGTGATTAGATTAGAATCTGTCCATGTGCTAGTTAGCAATAAAATTTATATACTCTGTGTCTGAATAAAAACTTACTGCAGCAGGAATTTAACTTAGGAATAGGTCTCCTATTCTATTACAGATCTAGATAAGAATTCGCTCGCTGTGGACTGAATATTGATGACAGGCTCTGCACTGTGGAAAACTACTTTATCAAACTGAATACCGAATTACTGTTGGTAAACTCTGCAGCTGATGATTGTTTACCCTTGTCTTCACACTCCGAACACTTCTTGGTAAGTTTTGAAGAATCTGTTACATAATGCAAACACTGAAACCTGATAACTGCCATCCATTTTAGAGGTAAATAGAGTCACTAAATTATTTTGTTCTGAGAAACTGGTTTGGGCACATCACCGGTATTCTACTATTTTCTCTTCTCTCAGTTTTGGAACTTACAAGTAAAAATGAAAATTTGTAATTCAACTGTTTGCAATATGATGCATTTTAAACCTTCTCTATTTTAAACTTTTCCTTTTTTCCCCCAAAAAGACTGAAAGTCTTTTTTGTCAAAAGGAATTTGCCCTCTTTTCCTTAGATGAATGTATTCAGAATCCATGGGATTCTGAATGAGTAAGGACTATAAATTCACAGTGTGCCTGGGAGAACTGCAAATGGAATAAGGATTCAACTATTCTTTTAAAATGCCAACATGACTATTTTCCACAATACTGAGAAAGTATCTATTTTACTATTTTCATAAAATATTTTCTAAGTCCATATTTACTTATTTACTCTTCAGTATGAAATGTAAAAACTGTTATTCCAGGGTTTGGAGTCTTTATGGAATAATTACCAAATCAGCTACAGACTTATTTGCACATTAGTTCAAGCATATAGAACTGACTTCCACTGCCCAGCACCTGGCAAATATATTTTACTCAAAATGTAGAGAATGCAACTGTAGAGTCCAGAGATGCACAACAAAGCCAACACAAAGCCAAATCAGGTAGCACCATGTTCAGTGCATAAACCTCCTACATATGTATTTTATGCTTCAGTTGCAATAAACATCCTTGAAAATCTACTGCCCGATATTCTGTCATTGTAAGCACTTAAAAAAATCCCCAATTGGCAGAAAATAATACTTGTAAGTGCCTAATGATGCCAAACTGCATCCCTATGCCCAACAGGAATTTCAAGAACAAAAGTGTTGATCTTCCTTCAGAGGCACCTGAAGAAGTTGTGTTCACTTAGCTTTCCAAACAGTTTGCAATGCTTTTATGAATATCATTTCATGCAGGTAGGAAATACCAATTGACTGAAATCAATTTATACAAATCCTGTAACCTGCTAAGTACAATTATAGGCTCATTATGAATTATGAGACTTGCATCATTTATGCTTAGAGAACTTATTGATGCTTTTTGTCACTGAAGACAAGTCTCACAAAGAGACTTTTTGCATAGAAATACTGGGTTAATAGAAAATAGGGTTGCAAAATATGTACATGTGGGTAGTGGATTCATGAAGTTTCTGACAAGTTTTATTATTTTTGCTTAGTATTTTTATTTTTGTTTTTAGAGAAATAACAGCTGTGAGTGAAAGTCTGCCCCTTATCAACAAATGTAGTTTCAGAGCAGCTCAGTATTGAAGGGGGGGAGGCTGTCAAATTTAATAGCAGACCCCACACTAAAAATTAAGGAGACTCCCAGCTTTAATTCAAAGCACTGGAAAGACTCGAGCTCTGCCATGGACACTTTACAAGTTGGTGCCACTGAACTGTGTCCATGGAAAGCCCTTCCAGCTGTTCAGATACCTGAGCAGCCAAGGGCAGGGAGCACTCCAGAATGACTGCTCCAGGAGGTACCTTATGGCAGAGAGAATCATTCCATTCCATGGGATTTTTACTTTTTCTTTAAAGTTTTAACACATATTGGTTTCACAAAATGACAGATCCAGAGGACAAAAATTCCTCTTTAAAAAATGGAGAGGTTGACGTTTACTCTGAAATTGTCCCTTCCTGCATAAAAAAATATATTGAAAAGTATCACAAACAAGTCTGGCTGATCAAACATTTTGACTAAAGAATTTTGACCCTCATGGACAGATTGAATATTATTTAGTTTAATTTTAGTATTTACTTTTGTTCACTGAAACCTCCCAGCTGCGTTTCCCAATCCTCACTGGATTACAGTATCTGATACAAAGGATTCAATACAGTGAATGAAATGAATGATAAAGGAACAAAACACAAATACCAGCCACGGTTCTTGCTGGAACAGATTCTTTGTTGATCCAAAACACAACTTGAGACAGGACTACAGTCATGATGCATGGAATGTATGTCTGAATGAGATAGTAGCCTATTTTCCTTTGAAGATGGAAATAGAGCAGCTGAAGGGAATATTCGCCTAAAACAAACAAGCAATGAAAGGAATGAATGAATGATACATGTGATGCTGAGCTGTTCAAAGACCTCAGTGCAGCATACCAAAAACTGTTCTGGCTGGAACAGACTCCTTGTTAATCCAGAAAGACACCTGAGAAAGAATGACTGTCATAATGCATGGAGTGTAAATCTGTATCATGAAGTAGCCCATCTTCCTTTGCAAGTGGAAATAAACTGTCATGATTACATATTCACCTGTTAAGAGACAAATATGTCAGCATTATTTTGGCAACATATGAGTAAACATTATTGGCTTAAACCCAACGTAATATGTTCTGAGGAAATCACTTACAGGCCTCCTAGTGGATAATAAAAATAAGCTGCTTAAAAAAAGGTAAAGTGACCTTATGGAAACAAAGGAGAATAATATTCATTTTTTTTTTCACTGGGGCAGGGAGGCAGGTGGAATTCTTCCAAATCTCATGAAAAGTTCTATGTTTAAAGAGGCCGTATTGAAAAGCTATCTTTTAAGAGACAATGGTTAGTCTATCCAAAGACTTTAGTTTTTAGAATAACAAAAGATAGTTAAACTAATTTGGTTCAATATGAGAAAAACCCTGTAATTTATTTTCAAGATGTGTTTTATAATGTCAGTAGTTCCCACATGGCTCCATCTTACCTGTGTTAGATTTAATTGTTTCACTAGATACAGTTTGTCCTATGAGGTCATACTGGAGAAGACTGGAAGACTCCTGTGGTACTTCTACAGAATGCAGGGGTCCTTTTTTCCAAGTATAAATTATTTCACTTTTTGGATAAGCATCTGAGTTACAGAGGGAAAAATTACCATTACTAATTATGTATTTTCTAAGCAATTGAAAAAATAAGTAGAATAATCCCTTTTGTGGCCCAAATGACTGTAAAAAACATGGATGCTGCTCCTACCATTATTAATGACAAAATGAAAACCCCTCAACAATAAGAGAATGGCTGAGGTGGACCTGATATGCACTAGTTTTGATTTCTTAATTTGCTGTAAAACACATACACTGAGTACCACAGCTCAACTAAATATTTTCAGAATTGATTAACACAGATCTACTACATATTTTCAAAACTGTAAGTAATATAGTTCCTTCTTGAGGGACCAACTTTGACTACTAGATGTATAAAATAATCAACAATAAAATATGCTTCAACAGTCACCCTTCGGTGAATAAGGCCATGTCCTTATGAATGGTCTGATTCTCAGAGGAAAAAGTAGAATTCCAGTATAAAAATATAATACAAAATTTCAGCTATGTCATTAAGTAATGTCTTAGGATCTTACTTCTGATCTTCTCACATACATGTAGACCAGTGTGTTACTATAATGAACTGAGAGGTGCAGACAAACTTACAGCTCCCAAACTTCAGTGGACAAGCATGTCCATCCATAGGGAAGTTCACCAACCGCATGGGACAATCAGCATTAATGGTTAGTCTGGAACACATCAGAGTAGGTGACAATGAAAAAATGGTATGCAGGAACTGCTGATAGAATCAAACATAAAGGTCAACCAAAATCAGAAAAATAGGCTCTCACCTCATTGTGTAAAGAATAGTTCCATTCTGCATAATTCTAAAAAGTTTGTTAGGAGTTGTCATATTATGAGCAATTGATTTTTTTCCATTTCTAAAAAATGTGTCTGGTGTCCAAATTTTACTGACCATTAAATTGTTCAATCTCAAAATTTCAGTTGGCCCACTAAACTTCAACCTCTCATCAGTCCATGTCTGCCGAAAGAAGACATCCATTGTGTATTCCTGTGGAGAATAAAGAGGTGGTTGACTCCTGTGTGGGGGTCAGCAGTCCTGAGTGCCTGTATGAACAGGAACTCCACAACACAACCTAACACACATGCCAATGGCACTTCATTTACTGCTTAAACGCCCAATCCTATTACCATTAAGTAGTTACTAAAAAAAAGTCGTCCATGAAAACATATCCTATTTTCTTATTATTTGAAGAATAGGTAGAAGTGAATCAGTGAGCAGGTAATTTGATATGAGTAAGGAAAAAGACCTCATTGTCCTCTCAGAGATAATGATTTAATTTAAAGTGACTGAGGTCTAAGGAAATACAAATGTCTAATTTGGTATCCTTTCAAAGTACAAACCCAAACTATCAACGTTTAATTGCCAGAAACAAAAAGACTTGCTCAGTCAATCTTCTGCAGTTTCCTTTGGATATTCACAAAGAAAAGACTCATCTGACCGAATCACTTCACAGTAGGATTATGGTGTCAAGTTAATATTAGTCTGTTATTTTTTTTAAGAATTCTTAGTAATATTTTCACAAGCCTTCAGAAAGGAGCTTCCTGCAGAAGTTGCTTAGGAAATGGAGCTAAACCTTTGCTGGGGTTAAGTTTTGTGAGAATGCAAGGTTGTGCCTTCTCTTGGATTGACCGATGAAGAGCTTCAGGAAAACTTTTGGTTATACTCGGAGCCCACAGCTCCGTGCCTGCAAACCGGACTGCTGTTGGAGGGGGTATACAAGGGCAAAACAGCAACTCAAGTCCAGAATGAGAACAGCAATGCCATCCTCACTCCCAGGACACTTTCCTGGGCTGCTGCTGGAATGACAGAGTTCACCCAAGTCTGCAGCTCCCTGAATTTGGGGGCACCCAGCATGGCAAGGGGCAGCTGTCTCCGAAGTGGCACCACTCCCCTGCAGCTGCTCGTAAGGTCGTCTCCTTCCAGGCAGCATTCCTGCAAAACTGTACCGGGCCACAGGTGCTCACAATCTTAGCGGGGTTAACGAGGCGTCTTTAACCCCTGGCCGGTGCCCTCACCCGAGGCTGTGCCCCCCGTGCCCAGCCCAGGCTGTGGCTGCCGGGAAATAGCTGGATGCGGCTCCAGCCAAACTGCTCTGCTGGGCCCTAGAGATTGTCAAGGAGATTAAGCCTCGTAATCTGCTTTAATGACGGTCAACTCAGATGCCACCCTAATGAATCCCGAGAAAAGAGAGCAGGGGTGGCGAGGGGGCCCTTACCATCTCCACGTCGGACACGGGCCCGAAGCTGGTCACGTAGATGTCCGTTTT